ACGAGATAAAAAATAAGATGAGACATTACAAAAATCGTTATGCACTGTATTAACGTATTTGCTTTCAGCTTGTATTACATTAAACTTGAATAGTCAAACTAATTTTTTTTTCAAACTTATATAAAAATTTCCAAGAGTATAACATCTTTTTTATATTCACATTGTTTTAAATGTAAATTAAAAAATAATTAAATCAATTAGAAGATTGTTATTTTAATGGTTATATGGACGCACATCTTATAACGTTTAATCCTAATGGAATTTTATTTTTTTAACAGATTGCCAAAATTATCAAGGTGTAGCAAAATGTTGTTGAAGATTTGATGTAAAGATTTCACTTGGTAGGTTTTTTTTATTTTTGTTTTATTGATAAATTTGTTATAAGATTTAAGGTTCACACCGCTGATGACATTCATTTTAATGTTAACTGGCACGAGCTTTGGGTCAGAGGCGTCATTTGGGGGGAGGCAGGGGTTAGAGGCAATTGCCCCCCCCCAAGAAAAATTATAAAATATTAAAATTATAAATTATAAAAGTGTTAATTTTAAATTCTTTGTAAAAAGGATATATATAGGGTATATAATTTAGTAATTTTCAAACTTTAAAAATTTTGAAATTTTAAAAACTTTAAAAATGTAAAATTTATTATAATGTTGCATTGACGAGACTAGGTAGTCAAAATAGTACTATATGCATACATGTAGATAATGACATCTTCTGTAAATAGGAATTTTGTTAATAGCATTAACAAGTTAAGCTTGGTAGATTGGAGAATTATTCAAAGAATCGAGAAACTATCATATAGATTGAGTACTGTAAAAAACGCCGTGATCTTTATTAATAATATATATATATATATATATGTATATATATATATGTTACATGCTAAGTCATAGACCACATAAGTTCGTCCCCCCCCCAACCAAAATCTGAAATGACGCCCCTGCTTTGGGTCATAGTTAGAGATACTATTTTTGAGTGCTTGGTAAGTTTATATGGGTATATAATATATACATTGAGAGGTGTCTCATTTCACTATGATTGATCACTCGTAATTGTAATAGTCAACACACATTTGGTACATTAGATATAGTACAGATATGTGTAATTTTGTGAGTAGAATCCAAATATGCAAGTCTTTTTTCCTAGAACGTCAGTTTAAAATATTAAAAAAAACTGTGTATTGAGATATTGATCGAAATGGTTAAAATTTGAATGGAAATATATAAATACTTGTAAAATTTTTCAAATTTTTTTCGTTTATAGCATTAGCTGAATAATCAGGGACCTTTTGCATTATGTTAATGTATTTGCTTTCTGCTCGTTCATCAAACTTATCGCACACTTTTCAAACTAATTTCTTTTTTTTTCAAACTTTTATCAAAATTTCAAAGAGTTATTTTATAAAAATAATGTTTTAAATAATTGTAAATTTAAAAAAATTAAATCATTTTGAAGATTGATATTATAATACAATAGTATGGGCACTTATATCTTGTAACATTTATCATGATAGAATTTTATTTTTTCAAACAAATCATTCTAATTTCACAGATTGCCAAGCTTATCAAGATGTATTAAAATGTTGTTGAAGATTCGATGCAAAGATCTCATTGAGTAAATTTCTTATTTTATTTTTGTTTTTTTCATAAGTTTGTTTATAATCCAAGATGACTTTGTGTTAATGTTAATTGGCATGAGCTTTGGCTCAAAGTTAGGGATAACATTTTTTGGTGCTTGTGTTTTCACAAAAACCTTTTAAAGTTATGTAGAGTTTAATACAGGTTTATAGAGTTATTTTACAGAGTGAGTTTTTCAGAGTTTTACAGTAAACACTGGGGAATTTAAAATATCGTTGCGTCGAAGCGTTTGCCATTGTTTCTGAAGAGTTTGAAAGATAGTTGTAGAAAAGTGTGTGCCTTGTCTTTGAGTAATTTGAAATATTATTCGTCGAAGAGTTTGCAAATGTTTCTAAAGAGTTTTAAAAGTAGTTGCTGAAGACTTAGAGA